ACAAAATATAAGCACAGTAATATTACTAACAATGGTGGCCGTAGCCTTAATCCACTTGATATGACTCCAAGGCTGCATTTAGGCATGATCCCATCTCTATCCTTGTCTCCCATCCTTCCACCTCCATTCTGATCATATCATTCCAACTAAGAAATCTTATTTAAGCCACCATGAATGAAAGTCTTTACGTGCCTTTCACACGCCATTCCATGTGAATTTCTCTTTAGACAGCTATTCCTGATTACCCTTTCAGACTTAACTAAATGGCACACCTGCCAAGAGATTCTAGCTCACTACCCTCCACTCCCAACTTTAAATGATTTTCCAAAGCTCTCTTACATAGGCAGTTTACTCTTTCTTAAGAATAATTACCACCGTTGGTAATTTAAAATATTTTTGTATTTTACTGTTTTATCCCCAAATTAACAATATGTTCCTTGAAGACAGAGAACCATATTTGCTCCCTATATCCAATGACTAAATCTTGATGTACATTTATTATTTGATAAATAAATTAGTGAATTAATGAACTAAAAAAATATGATCACCATCTTTCTACTTATGAATTCCTTACTACTCTCAGCACCATGTATAGCATAAAGTATCTTCTTAGGGAGAAGTGAGAGCAGTTTCTTCATGAGGTATCTCTGAGACCTCTATCTCCAAAGTAGGTAGGTTCTGTGAAATACTTCAAATTCCTTAAGAATTCAAAGAAGGAATATAACAAGCCTGATAATAAAGCCTTGAAATTTAAGTATGAGTTTGAAATTTAAGAGATGTGCATGTGTATGAAGGGTGGAGGGGTGTCCCTTACCCAGTTAGTTCCTTGTTTTACTTTTTAACTACTTCTTCCATGTATGTTGTGTGTATCATTACATTAGAGTTTAGATATTCAGTTCACCTCTAAGGTATAATCTCAAAATCAAGCAAAGCATACCCAGTTTCAATGAGAAACATTTTTCTTTTCATGCCAATAAAACAATCCTCCCATTGTGTGCTGAGCAGCTCCACCCACACTGATCTTCCCTACAGGTGCCTGGATTTCAATTGTGGTGACTTCATCCTTTTTATATGTTCTTTTCAAGTGAGACAAAAGCTCTGAGAGGTTAAAATGTTTGAAGAGGCATTTGATGTTTGTCTGTAAGTTATGCGCTGAACAATGCCAGAAGATAAAGTTGCCCTTATAAATGGAGAGAGAAAATTTATATAAACCAGAAATTTCTTTCCTAAAGGGACTTCTTTCTAGACTTAGGTATAACGTCAAAAAGAAAAATCTAACTTTCTTTTATATCACCATTCCTTAGAAGAGTATTAAGTAGTAGAAACTATAAGGAATCAACTAGCGCCAACATTCATTAGGTATGTGATCTTAGGCAAATCACTACACCACAAAAATTCCCTATTTCTATTTGTAAAATGAGGGGGAAAGTCGTAAGTTACTCTTAAGGATTGAGACATGTGGCACTGTCTCTGGCACACAGAAGATACTCCATGACTGTTAGAGTTGCTGCCTGCAAGAAAACATTCTGGTAAGTCCTGTGTTTAACAAGTTTTAGGAAATCTAGAAGCTCGGGCATATTTAAAAGAAATGGATGATATCCCCTTCCAAGGTCAACCAAGATCATCTAATTAACAGGACACACAAAATACATTTTTACAAGTTCTACATTATCTCCTAGTTTAAAAAAGAATCCAATCCATCTCCTCAAAGGCTGGTATTACAACTAAGCAGTACTTGAGAAACAGTGGTATTCCTTTCTTTTGAGCATCTGTATACATCTTGGCTTTGTTTATTATACAAATAAAATCTGTAAGTTCAAGTCAAGCCTAACTTTAAAAATAGCTGTTATCTGTAGTTATAGATAAATTAGATACTTGAAATTAAGGAAGAAATTTAAGTGCTTAAAAATTAAAAATACTAAGCACAGGATACACACTGAATAAAGGAGAAGAAGATTCTGGAAATACAGTTTTTAGTCTTAAAATCTTTGCAGATTCTGTCATAAAAATAGTGCAAGAAGGACTATGATAAAGACAATGACGAGGTATACTTAAGTTCAGAAATAATTTTTCGAAGCCAGAATGTTTTTTCATCTAACCAAAATAAATTTATGAATTTTCAGTCACAGAAAAATTCTGTTCATATGCACTAACTTGGGAATAATGTATCCCAGAGCCCTCCTGAGGAAATCTACGGGAGGATTTGTTTTGGAGAACCAAAACTGTTTGCAAGATATCAACATAAGGCTTCATGGTGAGCATTAAATATATATTTACTTATGGATCTAAGAATAAATAATGGTTTTGAGAGATATGATACAGTATATAATCACATGTAAATAGAAGAGAATATAAAATGTGATAAAAGTTTGCTATTGTTTTACAGGTATTAACTGGGAGTTTAAAAACATCAATTCAAAATTAGATACTGAAAGGGAGAAGGTAGGAGAAAGAAGAAACTATTTAATGTCAGAGTTGCCTGGACAGAGAAGCATTAGACAATAGCCAAAATGTTAAGGTTAATAAACAAAATACAATGGTATTTCGTAACAACATTAACATAAAGGTAGTCATCAAGGCGGAGGGAGAAAGAAAACCTTAATAAATGCCAGTAATTTTGTCTCTAGCATTATAGTCCATAGCATCTCTGGGGTAGAGGCCAGGGATGCTGCTAAACAGGGCCGCACAATAAAATCATCTAACCCAGTAGCATTTGAGGAGGTTTCAAATATTCACTGAGGAGAATGGGGAGCTGACTATGAATCGTGGTTGCTTTAAAACCATCAGTGCCCACTAAAGAATGGTGACCAGTGCTTTTTAATGGCAACCATCTGCACTGTTGTATGATTCTCCCAAACATCATTAAGATTAAGTGTAACAGTGAAGAGAACTGAAAAGTTTGACTAATACCTGGATAGGATTTTACCAAATGGGTGCATTCAAAGGACAAGGTAGATGAAGATATTGGTAAGAGCGCCATGGTCCATAGAAGTGATGGAGCATGGAATCTAAGCTAAATAAGGGACAGTATAAAACAAAAGGTAGCTGAAAGAAAGAAAAAAGACAGGTAGCCTGGAGTTCCCTATAAATTTGAAATATTTGCAGTAGGATAATTTAGTAAATGATATGCAATGACAGCATGTAATGGTCAGAAGTTGAGAAATAGCCTTAGTATTTAGTTTTTAGTATAGTTAAGATGATGGCAATACTTAGACTGGGCCCAACGGGTGGGTAGGTGAAGTGCACTGAAATAAAGGTCACTGGAAGGAGAAGGAGAAGGACAGGGTAATGAATACATCACAGAAGGCCAGCAAGGTACAGTTGTACCCCTAAATCCCATGTCATTTTGTCACTAAACATATACAGGATAAGTAGCAACAAAAAGTGAATACTGTAATAATTCTAAGCAAAGGATTCCTTGCAGCCTGCAAAGAATTTAAGGCCTGGCCGGGTAGCTCAGTTGGTTAGAGCACTTTCCCAAGGTTGTGGGTTCGATCCCAGGTCAGGGCACATACAAGAATCAACCAATGAGCTCTGGCCAGTGTAGCTCAGTTGGCTGGGCATCGTCCCGTGCACCAAAAGGTCGCTGGTTGGATTCCTGGTCGGGGCACATACCCAGGTTGCAGCCTTCATCCCGGGTGGGGAGTGTGCAGGAGGCAGCTGATCAATGTCTCTCACATCAAATGTTTCTCTCTCCCTTTCTCACTCTAAAAATCAATTTTAAAAAACTTAAAACACACACGCACAAACAGCTCTCGAAATTTAGGGTTGGTTGATAGCCACAGTCCCAATAATATTCTTTCAGGGCCCCATATTCCTGGTTGTTGCATTAACTGGATAAAGAATGAATGAGATTATTCAAGAGTAATAGACCATTTTTTGAGGCAAAAGGATGCTTCAGTGGGTCAGGCAGTGGTAGCCAGTTATCTACCGTTAAATATCCTGCAAGGTACAGCAGGGAAACTGGGGCACCGAACTTAGAACAGATTTTTAACAGGTAGAATTGAGACAGAAAGCAGAAAACAGGTGCTCAAATTTTCAAGGATGAAGGGAAATTCCCAGAAAGTCATCAGATAATAGCAACACAGGAGATTGTAGTATGGCCTGTATGCCTCAGAGACAGCTAAGATGTGTATTATTTTCTCAGCTTTGGGTTGTCACTCTCAATGCTACTGGTAGAATCTGGCACTGCTTGCTATCAAACCAGCTGAGAGAGCTTGTTAAAAACTTAAGGTTCCAGAGCTTACCCCAGGCTATGGTTCATTAAATTTTTATATATTCCAGGAATCTACATTTCTAACAGTTCATGCATCTAGTACAGGATGGAAGATTGGGAATCAGTCGTATCTGCTACTTAATATTGCCACACCTCTTTTCAACTCATCCGTGAAAGCTTCATTATTATAGTTCACATTCGCTGAAAACTCACCATAAGCCAGAGGCATTTCTAAGCACTTTAATCCTGTTTATTTTATTTAATGCTTCCAACAAATGCACCATGTAGATATTATTAACATTTTTGACTTAAGACAAAGAAATTAGGTTATAAAGCTGACAGCTGAGCACAGGCAGTCTGATAAGAGAGCCCGTTCTCTTTCCGACTGTGCCATCAGGATAAAATTAGCTAAGTGAAGTGAATTTTTTCCTTCAGCTCTTTACAATTCTATCCTAGATGTTGTTTAAGAAGTCATCATCTGTACATCATAAGCCCTGATTGCTGGTGAGACATTTTAATGAAAAAAGGGAAATTAAAATTGAATAATTTCAGTTTGGCAAACAAAACATTTTACACACAATGTTGTCATAAAAATATATAATGGAAGCCCTTCCTGGTAGAAGTTGCAAATAATTCCTATAGACCGTCTCACACTTATTACTACTTCTCCCATTTTCTCAGTTGTAATATTAGCTATGAGCTTAACTAGGAAATTGATCAGTTCAAAAAATAAGAAATGTACATTCACCTCTTTAATCATTAAATTCGATATTTGAATACTTACATTTAACTCATTTTTTAGCATTTCTTCAAGATGATGACCTACATGTTCTTCATCTTCTTTGGTGTCCATAACTATGCAAATGTGTTGTGAAATTCTTTCTGAGGTACAAAATTTAAAAAAGAAATAAGTTTCAAATATAATATGGAACAAAGTACTAGTATACTGAAACCTATGCTTGCCTGCTGTTCATACATACTGAACAAGAAGAGGAAGGTGTTAACTTTGGGCTAAGTAGAGTGACTTGGACTACACATTGAGATGTCCTTGACTCTTTTAACTCCCAAATCAATAAGTCTATCTATGTTACACTTTGTGAGTAGCTAACCAGGACATGTATAAGCAACAGAAATAAGAAATTCTAGAATACATTTGAATGGAAGTAACTGGATGTAATAGCCATTCAACTCGTCGATTCAATCTGTCCACGTTTATAAGGAGTCTTACAGATTCTGATAAGATGCCATCTCCCAGGCAGATCTTCTCTAGGCTCTATTTCCTGTGTGCAGCTCACTGTGCCACCTAGTGTCCTGGTTAAGTACAGCATTCCCCTTGGCATTCCTCTTAATTTAATTTAATATAAGTTCCTACCACTTAATCATTACCACAAGTGAAAATGCCAAATGGATTCTCTTCAAATTTAGAAGGCTTATTTGACATGATCTGATTTTTAAAACATAAGCTATATGACATAGTGATATTCACTGTTGTAAACCCTCAATGCACTCTCCCAAAATATGTGCAGTCTTGCTCTACGGTAGACAGGTCTGACATACTAAGAAATAGCTAAATTGCTGCCAGTCAAGGAGACAGTGCATGGTATTATGTCATGAACGAAGGGGGAAATTGCAATTTTAAACAGAAATCCCAAATCAAAGTTAGTTTGATTAACATTTGACCCAGCTGCTTCTCACATGGGCACCTCCAGACAACATGCCTTATTAAAACATTGATCTGGAAATAGTTAATGATTCTTGCAAGCATAGTTGGGGAGGACAGACCATTTAAAATAATATCATCACAAGTCAGTAAGACTATTATTACTAACTACCTCCCACCTACCAAGAATATTATAGTAAACTAGAGGCCCATTGCACAAAGAGCTTCGTGCAATAGGCCTTCCCTTCCCCTGGATGCCGGCAGCGGTTTTCCTCTGGCACCTGGGACCCAGGCCGGAGCCTTCAGTCTTCACTCCACCATCATTTCGTGCCTATGTATGCAAATTAACCGCCATCTTTGTTGGGTTAATTTGCATACTCTCCTGATTGGCTGGTGAATGTAGTGAAGGGATGGTCAATTTACATGTTTGTCTATTATTAGGTAAGATGTTTAGAGAAATTTGGACTGTGTCATGTCCTAGCAAAAATTCAGACAGATTTTCAAATGTCTCTCACACACACAAAAAGAAATTATGATTAATTTTTTTATTATATAGGAATAGTAAAGACGGGATTTTGATGATGATTAAATGAGTTAGCATATATAAAGTTATGTAGAGTACCTGGTTATAAGTAAATCCCAATACATCACAGGGTAACTGTTTTTGTTGTTATGATGACATATATTTAGTGATAATTGAATAAGACTTCCTTTTGTCTACACAAAACATAACCCAATTCTAACTTCAAACTGTCCCTTGAAGTTTAATATTTCAGAGTTGGATAAATAATCTCTCTCAACTTTTTCCCACTAAGGCTTCTTTTCAAATTTCAAAGTTTTACCAAATATGCAGTAGTTATGTGTAACAATGGAATATTCATCTTGAGTAATAAATAATCCTATTTCCACTCCTGAATTCCTTTAAAATTAACATGGATGCCTTCTACTGAGGACTGTTTGTTTCTTGGTTTGTCCATTAGATATAGGTTGAAGCATCCTATGTGATCTTTATTAAAAATTCCACAAACACACACTCTGATAATCTAAACTGGGAATGTTAATGTACTTAAGGTTTTCATAAAAAAATAAATAAATAACAGCAATGACTATATATTTGCCATACATTTGAAAGGCCAAAATGAAAAAGAATGTAGCTATAGTAACAGGGTTCAAATAAACTGAACCTCTTCAATTTATTGCCCAACTAATAGAAAGAGAAAAAATTTATATAACACTTAAAGTTCTTTTTTTTCAAGAAGCACAAAACTCTTTCCAAACATACCATGATTAATCCTCATTGCTTCTCAAAGCAACGTCTTTAACATCTTCCTTGAGGTTAATGATGAAATCAAAACAAAAAATAGACGCCTTTAGAATTCTTAATCTGTGATTCTATTAATACAGCACGTCTTAGAAATTTTTATAGGTTAAGATAAAACAAAAGCACTGGTGAGAACTATGAAATCATGTTACTTCCCAGAATCATAAAAACTCTAACACAAGAATCTAGTCTTTGTTCTCTCGCCTGAAAAGACCTAAGGATAAATTGGAAAAATACTGGAATTAACATTAAATCCTACCTGACCTGTCAACTTGATGACTAATGTTAAACCCTAAGTTTTCATTTTCACACTACCTTCTAGCTTTTAAAAATCTTCCTTAAAGGACACTTGTGACACATGATAAAATAGTTTGATAATGAAACCATTAGGATACATCCCCCACCAAAAAAATATTTTAAATATGTACTCTCTAATTGAAACTGTATAACTCTTCACTTATATACAGCATCTGCGTGTCACATAGCTCAGTGTGATTTAACAGAGAGAAACCTCAAACTGGAACAAGCCTGGAAGTCTACAGGTTGGTATTAAAAGCTGTAAGTATTAACTAGTAAGTCCACATTTTTCAGTTAATATCTTATCCCCATGCATGATAACTTGTAAGTGGTCAAGGTATTGTGCACAACTGCCAATGCAGTCTTCTCCCCTCCCTCTTATCTGCTGGGTATATGTTCCAAGACGTCCAGTGGATGCCTTAAACCATAGATATACCAAACCCTATATATACTGTTTCTTGGTATATATACATACCATTGATAAAGTTTCATTTATAAATTAGGCACAGCAAGAGATTAATAGCAACAATAATAAAATAGAACAACTATAACCAAATGACGGAACGATCAACCGATCAATCGGTCGCTATGATGCGCACTGATCACCAGAGGACAGAAGCTCAACGCACAGGATAGGGTTCCCTCCTGTCTTGATCGGGCCTGAAGGGATCAAACTGAAACCGGCTATCCAGCATCCCCCGAGGGGTCCTGGATTGTGAGAGGTCGCAGGCCAGGCCGCAGGACCCCAGCCGTGCACAGATTCATGCACCAGGCCCCTAGTACTGTAATAAAAGTTACATGAATGTGTTCTCTACTTTCTTCTGTCTCCATGTTTCTGTTGAGAAATATATAGTCATTCAAATTATTGCTCCCCTACAAACAATGCATCACTTCTGATGACTTTCAAGATTTGTCTTTATTTTTTAGCAGTCTGATTATGAAGTATCTGGTGTGGAATTGTATGAGGTTATCATGTTGGAGTTAACTGAGCTTCTTGAGTCCGCATATTTATGTCTTTAACCAAATTTGGGAATTTTTTCATCTAGAATTTCTTCAGAATTTTCCCCCTATGCTGAACTTTCTCCTCTCCTTCCAGGATTGAGATGATCTGTTACTTTCCCACATATGCTGAGCACTATTCATTTCTACCCCCCAACCTCTTTTAATTCTACAGTTTAGACTGAAAAAATTCTGATGATTGAATTAACTTCACTGACACTTTCTCTGTCAACAAGTCTGTTTTTATTTTGGTTACTGTACTTTTTTCAGTTCTAAGTTTCCATTAGGCTCTCCTGTAGGTTTTCTATGCCTTTGCTGAGACTTTCCATCTTTCATTTCAAAAGCATTTCCATAATTGTCTAACTACTATGCTGTACAACTGAAAGTAATACTAAATAATATTGAAAGTAAACTGTAATTGAAAAAAATTATTTTTAATTTTTTAAAAAAATTCTGTTAATTTATTATAGCATTTTTATAATCAGTACTTTAAAGTTTTTGTCAGATAATTTCAACATCTATGTCATCTCAGCATGGGTGTCTATTGGTTGGTCTTTCCCATGTGAGATAGGATTTCCTGGTGGTTTGTATGCCAAGTGATATTGGGTTATATCCTGTATGCTTGGGTAATATCCTCCCTTACAGTCTCTACTGTACATCATTCATTTCTCTAATGCAGCCCTTTTCAGCATGCCATGATGTGTTTTCATAAGTGTTTAATTCCAGTATTATTTTAATTAAAGTCCATCTAAATCTAATAGTTTATGAATGAGACAAAAATTTTATTTGTTATATACTCATTTATTAAGTTCCTCTTGGTATACATAAAGTATTCTGTCTTTGTTCAAGGGTTAGAAAATAGACGCAATTGGGGTCTTTTCATTTAACTTCACAAAACAACATATACAATTTCTAAAATACCATATGACAAGACACACTGACTCAACATGGAGAAAAAAATATCTAGACATTTGCCTCCATTAATTAATCATCAGTAGAAACTCATGAGTACTCAGGATGGTGTTTGTATTTTGCAAGAAATTTTCAAATAGCATGGAGGAGAGACAAACTTAAGTACCATGCTAGTTCTACGAGCAAGTGAGAAAAAATCCAAAAGTCAGCCTTCCACTTTCTTAAAATCATTTAACACCATGTTGTCCATAAGACCTCATTATCCACTATATGGACCTCTTTCTTTCTTTCTGTCTGTCTCTTTGGCCTTGAAGCTAGAATTTGTTTATTTATTCATTTATTATTTTGGTTAATCCTCACCTGAGAATATCTTTCTTTCTTTCTTCTTCTTCTTCTTTTTAATTACATGGGCCTCTGGAGCCAAAATTTTAGTGTTCTTAGGCAAATAAACAAGTATACCAAATCAACCATAATCCTTTCCAAAAGATGTTTCAAGCCTTGATCCTTTCAAAGTAAGGACAGTTATGTTCTATTCTCCTGTTGAGTTCCTTGAATCAAAAGCCAATCTTTTTAAAAATATTTTTACTGATTTTTTTAGAGAAAGAGGAAGGAAGAGGGAGAGAGACATCCACATGAGAGCAAAACGTTGCCCTGACTGGGAATCTAACCGGTAACCTTTCAGTGCATAGGACA